GGTATTATATACTTAGGTGTGCTTGGTATTTGCTTCCTCATTTTGCATGTATTAGGTAAACTGGTCTTAATTATAAGTAATACATTATTAGACAACTGGTTTATAGTGAAGTAATTTGCTCCTGATAATAGTTTAGAGAAAAACCTCATCATCTTTCCCTGTAAGTGGGACCTGTTGTCATTTAAAAGTCCTGGTCTAATTAAGTGGCCAGACAGATTTAATACATCTCTAAGGAGTGAGATGCAACATTCTTTTTAACACCTTTAATAAGACGAGGAACTGAGAACAAGACCTAATGGATTTGATGGTAATTAAGAGCTTAAATTTCCTTCTCAAACTCACCTTTGCCTTCTCAGACAAATATAAATAAATGTTAGTTGCTGCGATGCCCGTGAGCATGAATGCCTTTTATCAAAACCCATTGAATAGCTGTTCTTCTAGTCAATAAATATTATTGAGCTCTATTCTCTGCCTGGCACTGTGCTAGGTTCTGGGAGTATAAGGTAAGCAAAACTACATTCTGGTGGAGGAGAGACATTCATCAAATAAGCATTCAAACATATAACTAAAAATTCTGTGTGAAGAGTGTAGAGCAGGGACCCTGAAATAAGTTGGGGGATAGGCTCGTAGAGATCAGGCAAGAATTCATTAGGAAAGTAATATCTAAAAACACAGCTTACCCTTTAGAAGAAATGGTGGTTTTCTCCTTAATACCAAACCATCAGCAAGTTCAGGAAATAAGAGCTTAGTCAAATCAATTGTTTGGTTACTTTACGGGAAATACTAAGTGTAAACAAATTGTTTTTTCTATTACCCAACTGTATAGATAATACTAAACATGACTCTTCTGTTTGATTGTCATTCTGCCCCATATGGGCTTTCATTTCATTAACTCTATTCAAAATAAAACCATTCACCTCTGGGGTGATTTTATCATTATCAACACACTCACACACACAACGTATTTAATTCAGTTCTTTACATGCACCAACCAAGAAGATGGAAAAACTTAGAAGATAGTAAAATGACTAAATTCTTCCTTCCTTGTGTGGGAGAGATGCCTTGCTCTGGAATGATATTTCATGTATAAGCATAGCGTTTCTCCTTGGTTTGCTTTTTGGTTTTTGAGAGATTGAATAAGGAAGGGGGAACTTCAGCACACACCTAAAACTGTTTATCTCTTAAGAGGAATTATAATATACCAAACACAATATAAAAGTGGTATTCTCAGATTTCCTCAGAAATGTATTCTATCCCCCAGAACACGGGCAGGCGTGGAGATGACTGTGGAGAGTGTCTCTTCATTTTAACGTTTTATTAGATTATTTACAAGAATATTCACTCATTTTATTTCAGTCTTAATTAAACAAAAGCTTGATTTGTTAAAAACTACATCTATTTTCAAGCCACGTCAAATGCAATCTGCTCAAATTCACTGAGTGCACTTCAATAATTTTCTTGAAAATGACCATTTCAGGACTTCCCTGGTGGCGCAGTGTTTAAGAATCCACCTGCCAATGCAGGCGACATAGGTTCGAGCCCTGGTCTGGGAAGATCCCACATGCCGCAGAGCAACTAAGCCCATGCGCCACAACTACTGAGCCTGCGCTCTAGAGCCTGCGAGCCACAACTACTGAAGCCCATGTGCCACAACTACTGAAGCCCGCGTGCCTAGAGCCCGTGCTCCACAACAAGAGAAGCCACTGCAATGAGAAGCCTGTGCACCACAACAAAGAGTAGGCCCCACTCGCTGCAACTAAAGAAAGCCCGCGCGCAGCAATGAATACCCAAAGCAGCCAAAAATAAATAAGTAAATTTTTTTTAAAAGGCCATTTCTTCCTTTTTACACTGTCTCAAGCTCAGTAAACAACTCATTCATCAAACTGAAGAGAATGCCCAAACAGAATTTCTTTGGGAAAGCTCGTTTTTTGTTTTATTTTTTTTTTTCTGAGCCAGACAATTGTTGTATTTTCTAGCCAGTTGGATTACAGCAAGTCAGTGAGATTACAGCAAGAAGCTCAGCTACTTCGTTTCCATCTTCATCACAAGAAATGAACTCATCTACATGAATCATTTGATGTAAAATAAAATAAACTCCTTTAAGTAAAACATTATCACAGGGTCAGAATGTCCCCCTTTGGAAAGGAAGGAATGAGCATAATGTAGCTTTACTGTAACAGTAGGAAACCATTATTTTGTTGCTCAGAGTGGTATCTTTCAGCTAATGTTTTCTTTTAGGATGAAACGTAAGTCCAAAATGATATCTAAACTAATTACAAATAATATCATCAAACGAGCTCTCTGATTAGAACCAGTGATCATTAAACTAGCTGCAAGCCCAAGAATTCCCTACTTTTCAACAAAGCGATATGTTAGTTATGTGAATTATTTCATAATACACCCTAATGAAAGGATTAATAAAGTGAGATACAACACAATTCCTGAGCTCTTACTAGGAGCCAGGCACTGTGCTAGGCACTTATATACATTATCTTGTTTAATTCTTACAACAGCCTTACAATGGTTTACTGATGGTGTTTCTCCCCAGATCACAGATGAAGAAACTGAAATTGCTTGTAATCAAAAAATATGGTACATGTGACCACTGTCATTGATTTGCTAATGTAGGGGAGGAAAAAAATATCATTTCTTCCTCTTCTAAAGTCTCAGCTGGGGCACTTATAACAAAAGACAGGTTAACAGGGGGAAGGCATACACATTTTTAAATAAAAGTTTTACATGACATAGGAGCTTTCATAAGAAAATGAAGACCCGAGGAAATAGTTTAACCTGAGTATTTTTTTTTTTTTTGCGGTTCGCGGCCCTCTCACTGCCGTGGCCTCTCCCGTCGTGGAGCACAGGCTCCGGACGCGCAGGCCCAGCGGCCGTGGCCCACGGGCCCAGCCGCTCCGTGGCATGTGGGATCCCCCCGGACCGGGGCACGAACCCGCGTCCCCTGCACCAGCAGGCGGACTCAACCACTGTGCCACCAGGGAAGCCCAAACCTGAGTATTTTTATGTGTACTAGGTTGCATGAAAAGTGGTCATCGAGAAATGTGATAGGACCAAAGGGGTATGTGCTAAGGGTGGTAAATTGGGGGAAACTTAGCAAGGCCTGTTCATTCAGATTCCTCTCAGCATCCCTCCTTCTTTGGAGATAAAGATGCTCCTTTCCTAAGGGTATGGAGAGGGCACCTCTCACATGAGGATCTCACGTCCTGACTCAGGGGAAGGTCAGAAATCCTTCCTGTACCCGTTGTTTCTCATATTTCTTCAGTTTAAACTATACCAGGGCTTCCCTGGTGGCACAGTGGTCAAGAATCCGTCTGCCAATACAGGGGACACAGGTTCGAGCCCTGGTCCTGGAAGATCCCACATGCCTCGGTGCAACTAAGCCCGTGCGCCACAATTACTGAGCCCATGAGCCACAACTACTGAAGCCCACACACCTAGAGCCCGTGCTCTGCAACAAGAGAAGTCACCACAATGAGAGGCCCGCACACGCAAAGAAGAGTAGCCCCCGCTCGCCGCAACTAGAGAAAAACCCGTGCACAGCAACGAAAAGCCAGTGCAGCCAAAAATAAATAAAATAAAATAAATAATTAAAAAAAAAAAATGCCAAGGTGTCATATTTGGGGCTAGCATGTCTTGAACCTCATCAGTATCTATGTTGGACTGAGGGGAAAAATGTGAAGTAGTACCTACAAATAAGAAAATAGGAAATTGGGCTTCCCTGGTGGCACAGTGGTTGGGAGTCCGCCTGCTGATGCAGGGGGCACGGGTTCGTGCCCTGGTCTGGGGGGATCCCACATGCCCCGGAGCGGCTGGGCCCATGGGCCATGGCCGCTGAGCCTATGCGGCCAGAGCCGAGGCCCACATACTGCAGAAAAAAAAAAAAAGAAAATAGGAAATAGAAGTACACTAGAAACAGAGGGAAAATAGGAAATAGGAGACTGGAAACTGAGAAGAAGGTTATAGTCATAACAGATGACTGAGTCCGACACTGAGCTTCACTCCATTGCCTCATTTCCTCCTCACAGCTGCCCAATAAAGTAGATATTATTGTCCCTGTTATCATTTTTACAGATGGAAAAACTGATGGTTAGAGCTTTTGACTGACTTCCCAAGGCCACACAGGTAGGTGATAAGTGGCACTGCAGTTAGAAGCCGAGGCCTGTCTGACCCCAGGGCTCTCATTCTTAACCACCATAAAATACTACCCAGAAAGGATGGTAATTGTTTCTGGATTACGTCGAAGCACGTGGTCAGGAGGGACTGGTAGGGAAGAGGAAATTTTAACCAAGGGGACAGAAGAGAAAGAAGACACACCGGGAGGACTGGAGAAGGGAATGTAGAAATAAAAGTCCACTCTGCATAAACACCCTGATGGGTTTAGTTATCCCAAGGGAGAGCTGAGGCAAGGGCAGGAGCCGATCAGATAGTACTGGGACTTCTCTTCATCCCTCTTCGGTGAGGCAGACAGTGTATCCATCCTCAGGCCGAGGAAGGCATTCTGCGTTCTCCAGCTGCAGCGCTGATCAGGCAAAGTGCCATGTCTAACCAATTATTTTGGAGTTTGGTGTGGCTAGAACACTGGCTGGACTCCCTTCCTCTGAGTAGCAGCTGAAGGGATTAAGAGGCCTCAGTCTGACTGCAAAAAAAATAAAAGAGAGAGAGAGAGAAAAGGAAAGCTGCGCATATTTGAATGCTGTGCTAATATCCTGGCTGTGTCAAACAAGTGTATTAATCTTCCAGCAGTCATATCAAGGGCCTGGCTTTAACATATGGCCTTAAAGAGAGCAGATAGGAATGAAGGATGCAGGGAAAAGAGCCTGGGATCCCTAAAGAAAGAATTTGCCTCAGCAATACAAATGTTGGGGGGGGGGGATCAGAAATCTCTCTCCTTCAGCCCTTCCCTGCTTGCCTGGTATTGCACTTAAACCAAGCCCCCCAGCCCTACCCCACCCCTTTCCCCTAAATGAGTGCTTCCCCCTGTCCCGATGCTCAGTTCCATCATCATCCTAGGAGTGGAAGGTAAATTTACGTTTTGGAAATTGAGTGGGCCAGAAAAAAACTTCATGTACACTTTTTAAAAAACCACCTCTCCCTACTCATTTGTCCTCCTAAGGTCAGACTAATACTTTTAGACTAAAGGCCTATTAAAAGACCATTTTTTAAAAAACAGGTAAATCATGACTCACAAATATAAAGTTAACCTGTTTCAAAGGTTTTATTTAACTCTATTAATGATAGAATCAGTTAAGATGTTACAATGGGGGGCTTCCCTGGTGGCGCAGTGGTTGAGAGTCCGCCTGCCGATGCAGGGGACGCGGGTTCGTGCCCCCGTCCGGGAGGATCCCGCGTGCCGCGGAGCGGCTGGGCCCGTGAGCCATGGCCGCTGAGCCTGCGCGTCCTGTGCTCCGCAACGGGAGGGGCCACAGCAGTGAGAGGCCCGTGTAACCACAAAAAAAAAAAAAAAGAAAGAAAGAAGATGTTACAATGGGTAAAAAGAATTCACAGTCTCACAAATGTGTAGACCATCAGGAATGCTGAAATGGATTTATAAACAGTTACAAAACTGGCAGAACTCCTCGGTATTTACAGGGCAATAACTGATTGCGTTCCATTAGACACAATTCATTTGTATTTATCTGGAGGAGACTATTGCACGATTGCAAAATAGACGAAGACAATGACAAGCAGAGAGAACCTGAAATAAAACCCAGCCATAAACCATATTTTTCAGGATGCCTAAATATCATAAGTCATGTCTGACAGCGTACCTCTGTATTAAGACCACTGTACTGATTTTACTTCCAGTGTTCCACCTCAATGTGTCAAGACTTGGAGGAGTGTGGTCCTTTTTAAGCAGTATGATAAGACGTCACTTTGAAAACATTTCAGATAATTTGCTGATCTGTTAGTTTAAAAGATAATTTTAAATTATTCAATGCAAAATAATTATAAATTTAAACACATTATTTTGAATAAAAGTTGCCTAGGGAGAAAACAGCTTTCTAGATTTGCAAATGAGAAGGTGGGCTCTGGATGGGAGGATAAAGATGAAAAATTGCAGGCTCTTGGTGATACTTTGCTCTACTTTCTCTGATTCTGAGCTGGAAGTAGAAACAGTAAGGATAGTAAAGCAGAAGATAAAGGGTGCCCTGAAACAACAGCAGTGTGTGCCTCAGAGGGACACTTTAGCCCCAGTTAGCCACAAGCACCGTCAGCCCCAGTGGTTTGTCAGGAGGTCATGATCACGGGAAGGCTCTTGCTTCATGGTTAACACTTCTGCCCAGGCCCACGTGGGGAAACATCCAAACAGGACAAAACTGCTGCCTCCAGCCGCTGTGCCCTATTTCCACATCGGTTTAGTTTCCTCTTGGTTCCTGCTCCAGTCCTAATCTCTGCATTCTGATTCCTGGCTACTCTGTCTCCTGCAGCTTTATTCATTTCCAGTCTCACTGAGTGAGTACTGACAATTTGCTAATAAATGGGCTATATTCTCTGACGTGCGGCTTCATAGAGCCTCCTGACTTCAATCCTCCACATGTAGTGGAGCATTGGTTCTCCTGTTTCAAGTCAGCTCAATCCTGTGTGGTGGGTCCTCTCCTCCTAAGCCCTTAGCTACCATTGCACCTCTTTCCTCAAGGTCACCCTGCACCTGAGCACCCTAATGGGTTTGCATTCAAAAGACTCTCTGCTGCTTCCCCCAGGAACCCAGAAGCACTACTTCAAGCTACTTCCCGGCTCAGCTTCACCCTGATTAACTACTTGTTTGCTGAAATAATGACAAAATTCTGATTCTCCCAACTTGTAGTAAGAAAGAGAAAGTAAGCAAAAACAGTAAAACCAAATTAAATTTTGACCATAATGATAGGAGTTGATTTGGTAGGTAAAAGAGTTGATTTGATAGGAGTTTGGTAGGTAAAATTATTCATCTATACCAAAATCATAGTTATTTTAGATCTTCCTCACTTGTTCCTTTAACAGGTATTTACAGAGCATATTCCATGTTCTAGGAATTTATCTAGCAACTAAGGACATAGTAGAGAATAAAAAAAGCCAAAGTTTTGGTACTCAGAGTTTATACTGTATATCTAACAGGGTTTCTTAGAGTGAGGAGGTAAATAGTTAATGATCTACAGAGTTCTACTTTATAGAGGGGGAAATTTTAAGAGTCTAATTGGTATGCTAATCTGTGTTCTCTAAGTTAATCACAAATAGAGTGACCAAAAGCTCGTGGCAGCAACCTGAAATAAAGGCATAATCTTTTATTTTATTTTATTTTTGGCTGTGTTGGTTCTTCGTTGTTGCCCATGGGCTTTCTCTAGTTGCGGCGCGCGGGGGGCTACTCTTTGTTGAGGTGCACGGACTTCTCATTGTGGTGGCTTCTCTTGTTGCAGAGCATGGGCTCTAGGCGCTTGGGCTTCAGTAGTTGCAGAGCGCAGGCTCAGTAGTTGTGGTACACAGGCTTAGTTGCTCCGCGGCATGTGGGATCTTCCCGGACAAGGGCTTGAACCCGTGTCCCCTGCATTGGCAGGCGGATTCTTAACCACACCACCAGGGAAGCCCTAAAGGCATAATCTTGCAAGCCTTAAAGAGGTAAGCCACAGCAAACATCCTGGCCTGTATTTTCTTTCCAAATTATCATTATGAAAAATTTTTAACATTCAGAGAAGTTCAAAGAATAGGACAGAGAGCAACTATATACTTATAACATAAATCAATTGTTAACATTTTGCTACAGCTGGTTGATCTGTTATTATTTATATTTATATATACATATATATGTACATATATTTAATTTTTTATTTGAAAATAATTTCAGGCCTACAGAAAAGTTGCAAGAAAAGTAAGAAGAATCCTCTCACACCCCCTTTACCTAGCTTCACCAACTTTTAGACTCTTGCCCCATTTGCTTTTTTTTTTGGCCAACCTATGATTGAACCTGGGCCCTGGGCAGTGAGAGTGCAGAGTCCTAACCACTGGACCACCAGGGAATTCCCTGCCCCATTTTCTTTTACTATATTCTATGTATGTGTGTATGTACGTTTTCTGAACCGTTCAAGAGGAAGTTGCATGCAATGTGCCCCCTTTCCCCTATATTTTTCAGTGTCTATTTCCTAAGAACAAGGACATTTTCCTACATAACCACTGTATATTTACCAATTACAGGAAATTTAAAATTGATGCTGTACTTTTTCTTAATTGAAGTATAGTTGATTTACAAGGTTGTGTTCATTTCTGCTGTAGAGCAAAGTGATTCAGTTATACATACATACACATTTTTAGAAAAATATTTATTTGGTTGTGCTGGGTCTTAGTTGAGGCAGGCAGGCTCCTTAGTTGTGGCATGTGAACTCTTAGTTGCGGCATATACGTGGGATCTAGTTCCCTGGCCAGGGATCAAACCCAGGCCCCCTGCATTGGGAGCATGGAGTCTTAACCACTGTGCCACCAGGGAAGTCCCTATACATTCTTTTTTTAAATATTCTTTTCCATTATAGTTTATCACAGGATATTGAATATAGTTCCCTGTGCTATACAGTAGGAACTTGCTGTTTATCCATTCTATATGTAATAGTTTTGATGCAATACTTTTTAAAATCTCATCTGTAATCCACATTCTAGTTTGTCAATTGATCCAGCAGTGTTCTTTTTGGTCTTTTATTTTCCTCTAGTACAGGATGCAGTCCAACATCACATATCTCACTTAGTTGTCATGCGTTTCTCTAGTCTCTTTTATTTTATTTTATAAATTTATTTATTTTACTTATTTATTTTTGGCTGCATTGGGTCTTCATTGCTGCACGCGGGCTTTCTCTAGTTGGCGCGAGCGGGGGCTGCTTCTTCGATGTGGTGCACGGGCTTCTCATTGCGGTGGCTTCTCGTCGCAGAGCACGGGCTCTAGGCTCATGGGCTTCAGTAGTTGTGGTTCGAGGGCTCTAGAGCACAGGCCCAGTAGTTGTTGGTGCACGGACTTAGTTGCTCCGCAGCATGTGGGATGCTCCCGGACTAGGGATCGCACCCCTGTCCCCCCGACCGGGGACAGGCGGATTCCTAACCACTGCGCCACCAGGGAAGCCCTCTAGCCTCTTTTAATTCAGAACATTTCCACAGCTTTTCTTTGTTTTTGATGACACTGCTATTTTTTAAGAAAACAGAACTTTTAAAAAAAATGTTCATCATTTAGAGGTTGTCTGATATCCATCTTGTGTCGCAGATTCAGTTCTCCTAGAAGACGACTTTGAGACAGAATTTAAGGGTCAGATATTTACTAGGTTGTGCCCTTAGGATCGATACCTGCATGTGGAATGGGGCGGGGCATTGGGGGAACAACACAACCGGGCAGAGGGAGAAGTTGAGCTGTAAGGTAGGACTGACAGACAGAGCCGACTCCAAATGGACCTCTGAAGCTAAAATGGACCCATCAGGATTATCCCCCATTGGTCCAAAGTGACCAGGCCTTTCTACTTCCACCTCAATCATCGCTGACAGTTGGCTAACCTAGAAGGGCATGACCTTGGGCAAAGGGGCTCTGTGTAGTAGCAGCAGTCTCTGAAGGGCTATTAGTTGGATGTGGCCTCTTGACAGCTCTCCCAGGAGTTAGTTTGTCCTTGTAGGGGGATCTGGACAATGCATTTCCACTTACCACATTTCATGATTGAAATCAGATTTTACATTCCCAGCTGGACAACTACCATGTGTGTGTACATACATATATATATATATATTTCTTTTCTTGTCTTTTGATTTACAATGTTGATTTACAATGCTGTGTTAATTTCTGCTGTACAGCAAAGTGACTCAATTATACATATATATACATTCTTTTTTTTACATTATTTTCCATTATGGTTTATCCCAGGACTATATATATATATATATATATATATATATATATATATATATCTTTCTGAATCTTTTGAAAGTTAAGTTGTAGACTTCAGCCCTAAAAACTTCAGCATGCACCTATAATAAAGAAGATTCTCCTACAAAACAATATCATTAACATACCTAAGAAAATGAAAAGATATCTTAATGATATTCAATTCATATTCAAATTCTCCCTATTATCCTCAAAATATGTTTTATAGTGTTTTAAAATCAGTATCTACTCAATAGTCATGTTAAATTCCTTTTTTTTGGTCTTTTCTCTTTTAAACTGGAACAATCCCTCTGTTTTTCCATATCAAAGACTTTCTAAGGAGACTGGGTGTGATGTCTTGAAGAACCTTCCTATTTTTCAGAGTGTTTTTTGTTTGTTTTTTTTTTCAAATTTGAAAGACATAATGTCACAAGAACTGAGGAAAATACCATTTGCTTTTTCTTAGATGATTTTAAGTATTAATACAGATGAAAGAATTTTTAAAGATGTGGACTATCTTTGTTAGAATAATAATTAAAGGTCTGCTTTTATATCCATTATTAATTAAGGAGAGTCAAAGAGAAGTAAAGAGATACAACGTTTTGGTTTTTTTTTATAAAACGGTTTCTATACCGTTTTCATTACATTTTTATAAAACTGAGTTGTCATTATTTGTGCACGTATGTGTTTGTGTGGGAAAACATAGCCAGATTCTACTTAACGTTCACATCTTCTCTAACAAAATAAAGCAAAATGAAAAGCCACTTAGTTGTTTTTGTAATGTGTTAGTGAGAACAGGAAATGAAAGAATCATATTATCTTATCCCATCATATTATGTTATATCGTAATCATATTATATTATATTGTTAGTCCTTTAAATGTAGCACTCTCATTATAAGCAGCTCTAATCCTCTTAATATATTATGACTCATTCATTATAACAAATTAAGAAAGACATGAGACACAAGAATCTTTTCAGATGATTTCCAAACAGGCTTCTTTACCTAATATCTTTCAGTTAGTTATGAGTTTTCTGATGGAAAATAAGCCTATTTCTGCTAGGTGTTTGTCAAAATACTTGCAAAATTTGTCAGTGGCCACCACCTTGACAACTGACAAGAATATCTTCCTGTCTCCTCCCTCCTTTCTCCTTTCTTCTTTTTTTTAATGGAAAGAATTTACTGTTAAAACTATATTATAGGCTCTTGGTCGCGTTGACTGGCTGTGTGTAACCGCGGGTCACGGGCGCTCGCCTCCCACCACAGCTCAGCCCAGCGCCACTGAGGCCGTCGGCCCCGAGCCTCCGCCGTGGACTTCGAGGACGATTACACACACTTTGCTTGCAGAAATACTTATCAGAGCTTTAATGGAATGGATCGTGACTATGGCCATGGATCCTGGGGGGGTCCAAGATCCATGGACTCCTACCTAAACCAGTCATATGGCATGGACAGTCACAGTGGTGGTGGTGGGGGTAGCAGGTAAATTGCTTCATCACTTGGCCAAATAATTAGATGACTGTAAGAGTCTGGATATTCTGATTTCCTATTCCTTAGGCATGTGATGCTACTTGAACTTTGCTATTTAGAACCACCTTAAATGTTGAAAGGTGTTAGTGGTTCTAAAAATTATCTCAGCATCACTGGCAGACATTAGGAAAATCTCAGGAAAACCTTTATCATTTCATTATAATAGAGTAAGATTTTCTGTCTTTAGCGGTGAGCATTTTTTTTTCCTTCTTTTACCTTTAACTGCTTATCAATCAGAATGTCCTGAACAAATGATATAAAAATGTTATTGGAAATATTATTTGTGAAGCTTTTTGTTATGAATCTCCAAAAATCTTTACTACTGTGGGGTACTCTATAAAGCAGCAAAGCAGTCTTTGACTAGAATGGGTTTAACTGAACCAGTCTAGCAACATTCAATTTCTAAGAAACATTTGAAATAGTTATTCTTTTAATTTTAAAGTAAGTTACAAGAGCATATTGTAATAATAAAAGTGTTCTTTAAATCATGTCTAGATTATTTATTGGCAGGTGCTGCTTATACCAGAAACACTTGTGCTCTAGACTAGGAACATTATATTAAAGCCATGAGTATGATACCTTTGCTTATTTTAATGCAGTAGAATTTAGATTGTACTTATGTTTCACTGTCAATGCTGTGTAAAGCTTAAACCTAGTTGAACTCCTACAGGCTTTGGGTTGACCACATTTCAGGTCAAGGGGGGTCTACTGTTGGAGGCACAAAGATTCCTACTAGATATAAGTAAAACTAGTTAGGAAACATTTGAAAGTGTTGTCCTTCTTCATAAATTGAAGGATCTGGATTCCTTAAGGATGGACCGAATGATGCTTACTTTTCTTTTTTCTGCTTCAAGTGTGCCATTATGGTTTATAGTAGAGAAAAGTCAAGAAGATAGATACAACAATTTTGTTTACGTGATAGATGTTTTGAAAAATGTAGTTGAAAAGAGGAATAATTTTTGTATGGTTACTAGGATTCAGAAGTAAATAGTACCTTCTATTTAGTGATCTGTAAATAATTGAAGTAATGTAACACATTTAAATGTTTTACCATATCTCTTCCTGCCCTATTACATTGTAAATGTAACGTGCGTAAACTGTGTAGATGTTATCATTTATCTCGTGTAATTGTGGGCCTTTATAAAACTATGTTGTAAGTTAAAGAAAAAAAAATCTATATTATAGGACTTATTTTTTACCCAAACTAAGATATATATATCCCATAAAAACTAAAGGAAGTGGGAAATCTTCAATATAAAAAGTATACAATTTTATGTGGGATAAATATAAATCCAAATGTTTAATGTTATGAATAGGATAAGATATAATAGAGAACAGGTCAATTTTGCCTATTTTGAGCCAATCCATTTTGGCTCAGCACTATTCCTTGAGTGTCCGTCATGTTTAAGTCCCTGTACTGGACGCTTTGATGAGTCACGAATTTAACTGATTAATTCATTTATTTATTCATTCACTTTTATAGTCTCCAGGGCTAAATCAAGCTTAAGAAGGAGAAGGAAATGGTGGGAAAATATACATTTTTCCATAGGAATTTAACTATTAAGTAGTCTACATTCCTCCTAGATTTCATAAGGCTAATTTTTAAAAGAACACCATGCTATTTGGGCCAAGTGGTTTCCAGACACACAGAGTATGCCAGTTCAAACTCCCTATCGAGGTGACATCAGCAAAAATAGTGGAGTAAGGACCTCAGAAAATTCTCTCTTCCACAGAAGCAACAAGAAACTGGCTAATGGTCAGAATCAAATGTTGCAGAACTCTGGAAATTTCCCAAAGGCTTGCAACAATCCGGGGAGTGTTTAAAAAGAAGGAGGAGGAGGAGAAAGAGGGGAAAAAACTGTTCAATCTCAGTAAAAGCAATGAGCTCTGTGGCATTTTTCACTTGCCCTAGTCCCATCTCGGACTCTCCTGCTTTGTGATATCCTTGAAAACCAACAGCCTGCATTCATGGTGAAGACCAGCAGCCCGACAGCCACTGGAAGGAACAGAAAGGGGCTGGAGCTCCTTCAAAGCTTCATCCCCAGAGACTTACTATATGACCTGTTTGTTCCCTGGAAAATCCCACTTGCAAGACTGACTTAACTCAGAGCTCATTAAGTGTGAAAAACTTTTTCCCCATAAACATTTGTCGAAAACAATTACAGGCAATTACTTAACCTTGCAGCTGTCTGAGGTGATGGATACCAGTTGGGGGAAAACATTAGACTAACAAAAAATTAAAAACAGAATGAGACATACAGAGGGGCTTTGGGAAGCTTCTGAATCAAGAAGGCCACATGCATGTATAGGGTGGTGCACATGCCCAGGGCTCTGTGCATTGACAAGAAAGACCCGAAAAGGCCCTAAGCTCTCACCTCTGGATGACCTTGAGATTCTGTGCAAGGAAAGTGGAAGCTAAGGCAGAGTTGAAAATGCACCCCCAATATGCACACAGAGCCTCTCACCAAAAACTGGGTTGCTTATTGGTTCTAGGCATTTAAGGAAATTTCCAGGTCCTACCTTATACCTTCTGAGCTTTGCATGGAGGTAAGAACAAAGGAAAGATCACATGGGTGATAAGACAGCCAAAAACTATGATGTCTCTCTAGATTCCTGTTCCCATTTCAGTTCAGGCCACTAAGGATTTTCCTTACTTTATTGCTAGCTCAGCCATACATTTAAAAAGATGATTTTTACATTTAGTACAGTGGCTTTTAGAGATTTTGTAGTGAAAAGATTTAAAAGAATATCTATAATACCATATTGCCAGAAACACAACTCCACCTAGCTTTTGAGATATTATTGTCGTCCTTAGGAAGGTTCTACCTACACTGTCATTTCTTATCTGACTATAGTAAGGAGGAAAAACTTATTATGTTGACTGCAGTGATACATTGTTGGGGAATCCTGCTTGTGTTTCTCTACTGTTCAACCTCAGAGCCAGGCTTGAACCGGCTGCCGGTTTTCTCTTCTTATCCTTGAAGAGCCCCAGAAACTCCGCACTTTCCTCTCTCTCAGTAGCTGACTCTACCTACTTCTCTTGTCACAAATCTCTCCAACTTCCATATTCTTTGCTCCGCAAAAAATTTATATTTGTCTTAAGGACTTTACTATTACTCACTAGAGGAGAATAATTAGATAGCAAAAACATGATCAATATGAGAAATTTACAGGCATTTCATAATTTTACAAATCATGGTTCTCATTTCCTTTTAGGATGATTTTTGTCTTCCAATTTTATTCTCTTAAAGAGTTGTTCTATAGTTAGATGAAGACCACAGGAACCCTTCCCCCTAAACCACAGATGTAAGGGTTTGTGGATGCTCTCAAGACAATGGGGGACCCTCTCCTCTCCAGAGAATATCTGGCACCTCTGAGAACCACCAGATTGAGTGGTACCCAAATCAGTCATCCTCTGTCCTGATTAGGACTATTGTGGACATTATTTTATAATCCTTTATTACTGAATGATCAGAACATCTGAATATAAACTAGATTCTGATTGTGGATACACTTTTTCTTTTGTCTTTATTTTTAAAATTTTTTTAAAGATCCTTGGCTTTTACTTTCTTTCTTTTTTGTTTATTTATTTAGGTTGCGCCATGCCTTAGTTGTAGCACGTGAGATCTTCCTTGCCCATGCAGACTCTTAGTTGTGGCATGCATGTGAGATCTAGTTCCCTGACCAGGGATTGAACCCAGGGCCTCTCCGTGGGGAGCACGGAGTCTTACCCACTGGCCCACCAGGGAAGTCCCTGTGCATCCACTTTTAACCACCTGGTTAACACAAGGCTTTATCCCCTTCTGAAACTCTGAGTTGATATATGTTAGATCTTCTTACTCTTTGCTCCTCATTTTTTAGCCTTCCTTTCATACCTTTCATATCATTGTCTCTCTGTGTTACATTTCGGATAACTTCTTCAGATATGTCTTCTAGTTTACATTCTCCCTTCAACTGGGTCTAAGCTACATCTTATGCATCCATTAAATTAAATTTCAAGATTAACTTTGTAATTTCTAGAAGTTCTATTTGATTCTTTTTTGGCCGTGCCATGCGGTATGTGGGATCTTAGTTCGCCAGCCAGGGATTGAACCCGTGCCCCCTCCACTGGGAGGGCAGAGTCTTAACCACTGGACCACCAGGGAAGTCCCTCTGTTTGATTCTTCATAAAACTTTCTTTGCCCAAAGTCGATATTCTGCCTAAAATTCTAGTGGTTATTGGTGCTTCTGTCTTTCTATTCAGGTCTTTTAAAGTGTTCTGCTAAATTTCTGTTTTCTTGTGTATAAAATGAAAGGACTAGAGTAGATTATCTCTACTATCTCATCTTACTTTAAGGACTATGATTCTGTGGTTTTTAGCCACCTGACTCCTTCCTCCTTCAAAGAGATTAAAGAATTGAAACTGGTGTGTGAAGGAAGAACTCCCATTCCCCAAGCAATAATGGCAAGTTGAAAAAGAATAAAAGTAATAGAAATGACAACCAGATCTTCGGGGGTGAATATGGGACATAAGAAAATTGTTTCCCTTCACTGTACGTCACATATGAAAGAACTTTTATAGTGTTTTCTCTCCATGCCACCCCATCCCTCTTAGCACAAAATAAAATAAAATAAAATAAAATGAAGCTACACTTAGCAGAGGCAGCACTGCATATATGCATTGACTGATAGAAGACCATGGCTAAGCCACAGAATCAGAGCCATACATCCTGACCCATGGCCAGGAGAGCCATCAAACTGCATCAAGTGTAACATTAGAGTAAACAAAACATAGAGTTTCAGGGTTGGCAGAACTTTAGACATTAAGTCCAGTCACATGCGATGCCAGAAAAACCTTCAATTTATGGTTGTCTCATTAAACATCTCTAAGTATGAGAAATGGGCCATTATCTGACAAAGCTTTGTGCTAGGCTGAAAGCTCCATGGCTTCAGTTCATCGCTATTCGCTTCTGTTTCACTGGGGCCTAGAACACATAGGAGATGCTCAGGAAATACGTATTAAATGAAGAAATGCCAATTTTTAACAACTATACTCTCTAGAAAGTTTTGCTTCATACTGAGCTAAAATTTCTGTTTCCCTCATATTCTTAGCTTTACTCTCTGGCCAGATAAAACAATTCCCTTCTCTGCATGAAAAACGTTATCCTGCTCTTTCTTTTCCAGGATAAATAGCTTCCACCAGTTCATTCAGCACTCCTCCCATGATGTCATTTTAAGCTTTCTCTTCAACCTGTTCCCTCTCTTCTGGACATGCTCCAGTTTATCCTTGTTCTTCATAAATTTAATTCCAAGGAAAGAACACAGCACCCCCGGGTGCATTCTGACCAGCTCAGGCAGAGTTGGACAAATACTCCCCCAATTCTATGAAAACAGCCAAGGGCAAATTCACTCCCCCTCTTTTTATTTTAGGCTGCCACATCCCTTTCTTGACTTACTTGAGCTCACGGTCAAGGAGAAAGCTTGCGCTGAGCAGAAATTTAGCATGCCCAAAGGTCAGAAGAGGTCACCAAAGGGCACCAATCTCAGTACCTGGGTGAACGGTGCCCATCCCATGGAAATGCAGGTGAAAGTGGTTGATTGGGATACCTTCTGGGTACATCACATCGACTCCCTTCTCATGGTTGTTGAAAAGGCACGGAATAAGCCATGAGTTCATATTATCTATCTCTTCAATGCAGGCTTACCAAATCCATTATAGGGTAATAATTCAGGGCCTGTAACTGCTGCCTCAGCACATTACAGCTGGGAGAACCTGTTTGAGAAGATGATTTGCTTTGCCCTGTAACTGGCATAAAGTTCAACGCAGGTGTTGCTTAACAAGCTAGTTCCGAAGTGAAAGACAGGTAAATTCTAAAGAACATTCTGGACACTGCCTTTCAGTCAATTTTCCAGGTCGGTATGGTGGAATTAGACTTTTTGGGTTTTTTTGTTTGTTTGTGTGTTTGTTTGTTTGTTTTGCGGTACATGGGCCTCGCACTGTTGTGGCCTCTCCCGTTGCGGAGCACAGGCTCCGGACACGCAGGCTCAGCGGCCACGGTTCACGGGCCCAGCCGCTCCGCGGCATGTGGGATCTTCCCAGACCGGGTCACGAACCCGTGTCCCCTGCATTGGCAGGCGGACGCTCAACCACTGCACCACCAGGGAATCCCGGAATTAGACTTTTTTAGAAGTAACAGAATGACCATTCTGAATATCTCTTTCTGGAACCTTCAAAACTTTATCTTGAATGCAAGCAAAACTAAAGTGTTTTTGACTCAAGATATCTATGGTTACTATTAACATGACTATTCTTAAGTGGCTTTAAAGTTGAGCTTAGAATTGCCAAGATTTTTCTTTTAATAACTAGTCACATGAGTTATTAAACATAGTTTCAGGGAATCAGACTTTAGGCTTCAAGTGCTTTGTCTGACTTTGTCTTATTAGAGAAAATCTGTGATGGACAGAAAAGATAGAGGAAAGTGTTCTAAAAGTAGAATTTTTAAAAAGCAATTTTATTGTATCAAGTGATTTGCTACTCAGTTTCTTCCAAGCTCCTTGTCAGGAAATAAACTGCTTGCATTATGTTTCAGTGATGACACATTGTGTTACTTGTATAGGTGCCAGGACATTTTCTGACTGCTTTCTTAGGCTTGAGTGCTTGGAGAAATACTTGGCTTTTGAATTATCCAAAGTACAGACCGTCCCCGACTTACGATGTTTCAACTTATTTTTTGACTTTATGATTGTGCAAAAGCAAAGCACATTCAGTAGAAACTGTACTTGGAATTTTGGATTTTGACCTTTTCCCAGCTAGCAATATGCAGTATATGATATAGCGATACACTCTCTCCTGATGCTGGGGAGCAGCGGCAGACACAGCTCCCAGGCAGCCACGTGATCACGAGGGCAAAGAACCAGTCCACTTACAACCATTCAACTGTAGCCCCCTGCAGTGGAAGCGGGGGCTTTTGCTTCCACTGACGTCAATGGGCTCAGGTGTCATGGCAGGGCTGGAACTAGGGTGAGGTAATTAAGGCAAAATTTAACAGGCACCAAAAATCTCAGTAAACAAAATGTATGTAAAAGATCCATGCTGAACAAACTATCAAAATTTTAAGTGAAGTCAGGATCTGGCTCTGTACTTGCATGACCCAACCTCACTTGCCTCACCCTAATCTTGACCCTATGTCATGCAATCTGAATTTGTGGGTGGACCAATGGGGAAAGCCAACAAGAAACTATTCTGGAACCGGGACACCAGGGATAATTGTGAAGGAATCCTGGAATGGATAGAGTAAGATGTCCAGATGTTCAGAGATGGGTCACGAGTATCCACAGTAGCGTACTGAGATAAAATAGCTCTCGTTTGTTCTAATAAGAAACGTATCTAAGGTAAGAGGAAAATCTCGAGATGTGACGATGGGTCATGCTAACCTCTAGGGGGCACTGCTCCCATGAAGAACCTGGTTCCTGTTGAGGGCTCTGCTAGGTGAGGACAAAATGGAGTCCTCAGAGCCTCACAGTGGGGTTTGGTTGGAGTGCTTTGATCAGAAATAGAAACTGGGGGGCTTCCCTAGTGGCGCAGTGGTTAAGAATCCGCCTGCCAATGCAGGGACACGGGTTCGAGCTCTGGTCCGGGAAGATCCCACATGCCGCGGAGCAACTAAGTCCGTGCACCGCAACTACTGAGCCTGCGCTCTAGAGCCTGTGAGCCACAACTACTGAAGCCCACGTGCCACAACTACTGAAGCCCGCGTGCCTAGAGCCCGTGCTCCGCAGCAAGAGAAGCCACTGCAAGGAGAAGCCCGCGCACCACAACGAAGAGTAGCCCCTGCTCGCTGCAACTAGAGAAAGCCCGCGCGCAGCAACGAAGACCCAATGCAGCCACAAATAAAAAAATAAAGAAAGAATAAATTAATTAAAAAAAAAAACAACTAGAAACTGGATTAAATTTTTCTTCCTCTTTCTGATTTTCTTCTCTCTCACCTATGTCCTGTGCCTGAAGTATTAAGCCATGATGTGGATATGCACCCTTTGAAAGTACCCTTGCCCATTGTAGAACAAGAAGAAATCACAGTGGGGTCCCGGCAGAAAGAAGAGGCTCTTGGGCAAATGCAGTCCATATATGGCCCAGGTCACCATAAGAGACCACGAGGGGACTTGAGACTTAACCTGCTATGGAGCAGTAAAGAATATGTGTTTGCCTAATGTCCTCAGAATCCAGCTGCCATGGCCGGATAGGAGTCCAGCCATGGTCTGGTAATTTGGTTCCTGGTCTGGTAATTTGGTTCTTCACTTTTCCACATTTGCAGTAACTTTAACAGCAGAGTTAGAACCAGGCCCAGGAATAGAATAGATTCTGGGTAAATATGGGCCTCTGGCACAGCACTACTGTGTAGCCACAACACAAGCTCAAAGATAAAAACCGTTCTCACAAGCTGGGTCCACTGGGCCTTGGGGGGGGGGCGGTGAGGAGTGGTGAGAAAGGGTCTAATTAAAAAACAGAGGATTTCTTTATCTTATATCATTCTGAGCTTCCTCCTACGTAGTCTTCCTCATTTGCAGGGGAGAGTGGTTTATTTTTGTTTTGCTTTTTTATTCAGCCACAGGTATAGTTCTAGAAAAGGAAAGTCGAATTATTCTCTAAATTCAGTGTCATTCTCAAAAACTATTTCCTTAAACACTCTTGAGAAAGGATTCTTGTACCTTGGGTGCCCAGAGGGTAAAAACTTGGGCACTTACACATTTCGATAAGAATCTAACCATGGCAACTTGCCAACTGAATGGTTTTTGCAGTTTCCTCACCTTCAGTTTCCTAAGCAGTAAATAGAGAATAAGGGCTCAAAAGTAATGTCTATTATCATAGACTCTTGTCCTTAATGGATGATGTTAAAGACCCCCTGAGTGCAGATGTCAGTGCCATCTACAGTGTCCCCACCAGCAGCCATTCAAGTGCAATGTATACATATCTCTTTGGTTTGTTGGTTGGTTTTCTCTTTTTTTTTTTTTTGGCCTCGTCTCACAGCGTGCGGGATCTTAGTTCCCTAATCAGAGATCAAACCCAGGCCCCCTGCAGTGGCGGCATGGAGCCCTACCCATTGGGCATCCAGGGCATTCCAGTTGGTAGGTTTTGAACAGCTATAAGTTCTTGGTTCCACTAAGCCAAACTTTTTTTAAATATTTATTTTATTTATTTCTTTTCTTTTTTTTTTTTGGCTGTGTTGGGTCTTAGGTGTAGCACTTGGGATCTTCGTTGAGGCATGCGGGATCTTTTGCTTCGGCGCAGGCTCTTTTGCGGCACGCAGGCTTCTCTCTAGTTGTGGCATGAGGGTTTTCTCGCTCTAGTTGTGGTGCGCAGGCTCCAGGGTGCATGGGCTCCGTAGTTGTGGCGCACGGGCTCCAGAGTGCATGGGTTCTGTAGTTTGTGGCTCTCAGGCTTTCTCGTTGAGGCGCGCGAGCTCAGTAGTTGTGGCGCGTGGGCTTAGTTGCCCCGCGGCAAGTGGGATCTTAGTTCCCTGACCAGGGATCGAACCTGTGTCCCCTGCGTTGGAAGGCAGATTCTTTACCACTGGACCACCAGGGAAATCCCATCCACTAAGTCAAACTTTTCCTAGCTATTATGCCAACCAATTTTTTGCCCTAGCTCCAACTTTGGAATCAACATAAATATCTTACTATTTATGACCTTAAGACAGCATAAATGTCTTACTTTTTCCTCATCTTCAGGTATCTGAAAACAGCTCTCAGACTCCTTTATTTTCTAATTAATTAGTTTGTTTATTTATTTATTTTTATTTTATATTGGAAAATAGTTGATTAACAGTGTTGTGTTTCAGGTGTACAGTAAAGTGATTCAATTATACATATACACGTATCTATTCTTTTTCAAATTCTTTTCCCATTTAGGTTATTGCAGAATATTGAGCAGTATTCCCTGTGCTATACAGTAGGTCCTTGCTGGCTGTCCATTTTAAATATAGCAGTGTGTACATGTCAATCCCAAACTCCCAATCTATCCCTCTTCCCCTACCCTTCCCCCTCCATAACCATAATTTCATCCTCTAAGTCTGTGAGTCTGTTTCTGTTTTGTAAATAAGTTCATTTTATCATTTTTTTTAAAGATTCAGCATATAAGTGATACCATATGATATTTGTCTTTCTCTGTCTGATGTACTTCACTTAGTACGATAATCTCCAGGTCCATCCATGTTGCTGCAAATGGCATTATCTCATTCTTTTTAATGGCTGAGTAGTATTCCATTGCATATATGTACCACATCTTTTTTTTTAATCCATTCATGTGTCAATGGACATTTAAGTTGCTTCCATATCTTGGCTACTATAAACAGCGCTGCAATCTCAGACTCCTTTAGTCTTCCTTTCTCACTGATTCCTTCAACCATTCCAACAGATACAATTCAGTCTCTGGAGTCCTTTCTTCTGCACTGCTTCTTTTTCCAGTGGTCTCCTCAACATCTGTTTTTGCAGACTTCTACAAACTACACCTAATATAGACTGACCATGATAAAGTGGAATGCTGAGCCTGCTAGCTTTACTTTCACTACTGTCAAATAATTAAAAGTGTTCATGAAGGATGTCTCTAAACCATCGCAATAATGATTGTGGAACTCAACTGTTTGTTTACTGTCAATGGGCAAATCTTTCAAATGGTGCTTTATTTTATCTTCCACTACTACATTTGATCCTATACTCCCTCCTATATCTCCTTCTAAGTGAAAAAAAGGCAGAAATATCTTCAGGCGTAATCTTGTATGAATGGGAGGAAGTTCTAGAATTGTTGTCCCTCCCACCTCCCCCCACTTTTCTGCTTCTGTCTTGAAAAACATTACCGTTGCTACCAAAACAAGTTTCCCTTCCACCTGCTTTACCAAGTTCACTAACTACCTCTCTGGATGATGAATAGTTTTGTGAAGTGTCTGCAACTTCAATACATTTTGCAAATTACTTGAGTGTTGTTCCTTCTTTTTTTTTAGAAAGGAAATACCTTGATACAAATTGAATAAGCATATAATAGCTGCTAATTCAGTTTCTACCCTCAACTGGGAATTCTTCCTAGATTTCTGTCAACGTTATTGACAATATGTGATTGAGGCCAAAACATTTTTAGTGCCAAGTAATGATGAAACAGAAAACAGAGGTATATTACGGTAGCAGCACAAACTTCCACCCGGTGTCCCTGAGTTTTCAGAAGCATATCTTTGCAGAGATTTCAGGTCATGGTTAACGATTTTAGACGCAGACCAACATAGTCACGTACAACCTTTTTTTACTGTCTAAACCATGGTATCAATTTTTGAGCAGTTTAATAATCTGGTAGGTATTCTGTTGTGGCTGCTGCTTCCAAGATCAGTTCTTCAGTAGACATAACATTGCCCAGAAGACCCTAAAAAGGATTAAAGCTCTAATTTTGACTGCTTATGTGGATGAAAATATCCACGACATAAATTGAACAATTCAGATCTCCAGTAGCTATCTAGTCATATGCCCTACAAAAATAGAGTTACAGAAGTCCTATGGTATCAAGGTTTCCAAATTAAGTGCCTACTTCTTCTTGCCAAAAAAATTATTTGCATACATAGAAATCACTTTTTAAGGAAATTTAGGGATTTCTGCTCTGACCAAGGCTTTGAAACATTACATTGCTAATGGTGGTGATTCTTTCCCAGACCCTAGATAAAATTTGGAGAAAAGTGAGGTAAAGACCTAGACCTTTAACAAAAGATGAAAATAGCTTTTTTAAAAAGGAAGAGAAATATAATGCTTTACAGTGTCTATTTTCTCACCACTCTTGGTCAGATTTGGGGATAATAGTGGCCTTTGGGGGCTCGACATAGGGGTCCCCCAACTGCCTTCAGAAGGCAGGCATCTAACAAGGTGTGATCTCAATACAGATCAATATTTTTCAAAATATAAAACACGCAAAACAAGTTTTAAAATCTGTACTTAAATCTTCTCATTTTTCTCCTGAAGTGATACAAAGAAATCCCGTTACCTTTCTACTTTCTCTCTACCCCCCTCCATTGTGTACTGCTTTTACTCTTCAACTGGTAGTAATCAATAGCTATAATTATTGAGCATGCTCTCTGTGCCGGGCACTGACCTAGTCACTTTCTGAGGATTTCCTTTTGTGATCATCATTAGCAACCCTATGAGTTAGAACTATTACTACTCTCATTTTACAAATGAGGAAACTGAGGCTTCAAGGTAGTAGGTGATTTGTCTAAGATTCCACAGCCAGGAAGAAATAGACTGGGGTTTGAAAGCAGGCATTCTGATTCCAGAGGCCATAGACCACGTTATGGCCTGATATTAAAATTTACCCATGTGTTCATTATCTTAAAGTCTTGCAAAGAAATTAAGCCTGAAAGTTTCTCCCTGACCCAAGGTTAATCATTCACTCTGTTTTCCTCCCCACAGTCAACAGAGCCATACAGATTGTACAAATCGGGACACAAACTTCTGGGTGGAGCATTAAATCAACTGTTATGTAAGTAGGCGTTGACCTTTCAAATATGTGCTGCGTTCTCTTAAACTGTCCTAGTGAAGCCTGAGGGTAGGACGTGCAAATCAGCCTGCAAGTGCCTTTTATGAAAAGACCTTGATCTCAACAGAGTGAAAATAGGTATCATTTCATGTGCACTTGATTCAATTGTATTTTTTTCATAAAGAAAAAATTTTCTCTTCCCCCACCCCATTGCCTTTAAAATGGAATAAAACATTTGTATGCCTGAAATTAGCTATAGTTTTTCTATCCAGGGTTGATTTTCAATGACAACTCAATAAAAAAAGTTATTGTGAAGGTTATCCTAGCTTAGCTAAGCTTCCTGAGAGCTTCTATTAATCTCCTAAATGAATGTCTTTCAAATAAGTCTCCCTCATCTCCATTCTAACTCTCACTGCCTAAGGCCCTTCCATCTTTGACTTCAATTGCTGCAATATCTCCCAAACTGCTACCAGATGATCTTTACAAAAACAAAAATTCAGCAATGCCACTCCCTGCTACAAACATTTTTATTTGCTCCCAGCTGACAATGCAATAAAATCCAAATGCTTAAGTAGGACCTTCAAAGGCCTTCATTACCAAAACACTCCCTTTTTTTGTTGTGTCTTTTCCAGCCAAACCAAAATACTTACATTTATCCTAATAAGCCAAAGAATATTGTCATTTGTCTTAAAGTATGGCATTAAGCAATAAATGACATGGGAGCTACAGATAGGCAAGACGCTTCTCTTATTCAAGGTTAGGCTGTGCCAGGCCTTGGGGTGGAAAGGTGCAATCCAACAATTACCTTTCTACCACCTCCCAACCCCAGGAACCAACAATATCACACTCAACCTTCAATTTCCATTTAAAACTCCCTTGTTTCTCTTGGGTGAATAAACAGGCAATCTTTATAAAATACTACTGTGCCCCAACACCTTCCAAGCAGAGATCGTTTTTCCAAAGGGTAGCAAAATATTCTGCTGGTGCCAAACATCTTGAGCACAAACTGGGGTGTGGTATACAGTTTATATTTGATAGTTAGTGGAAAATATTGAGCAATGACCTCAGATAACTCCCCCCACCCTCACACACACACACACACACACACATGCTTTTCAACAAAATCTCTCTTCCCTAAGTAGATGGCTCTTGAAAAGTAAAGTTTGCTGACGATGTATGTTTGCCGGGTAATGGATCTGTGGTTTTCACCAAAGAGTTTCTCTCTCATGTCCATTGATTCTTTCTACTCATTCCTGTCATTCAATCAGAAGCAGAGTACAGGTTCCCTCAAGCGCCCCTGTTCTTTTCACGGGAGATGCATTTTACAGGAGATACATTCTTTTCTTTTTTTTTTTTTTTTTTTTTTTGCGGTAGGCGGGCCTCTCACTGTTGTGGCCTCTCCCGTTGCGGAGCACAGGCTCCGGACGCGCAGGCTCAGCAGCCACGGCTCACGGGCCCAGCTGCTCCGCGGCATGTGGGATCTTCCCGGACCGGGGCACGAACCTGCGTCCCCTGCATCGGCAGGCGGACTCTCAACCACTGCGCCACCAGGGAAGCCCAGAAGATACATTCTTGAGTTCTTTTTTATCAGGGTGTATGGGGAACTCTACAAAGGCAATCCACGTAGACAACTGTCAGCAACACCAAATCCTTCTCTCTGATCAAAGCAGATAAGAGCCTAAATTTTCTTAAGGTTCTGTTAGGTATACATTTCTGCAATGGTCGATGAAAACCCATCTAACTCAACGATATGGAACTAAATTGAACCCCTCTGCATTCACCAAATGTTCTGCCAGAAAGAATCTGTGTTTTGTCAAGGTGGATAAACAAAATGTTTCCCTCTACAGCCAAGCCTCATTTAAAACCACACTTAAAAGTTTAATGATACACATTTCTACCAGACGTCCTTTCCCCAAATCATCTGGATTTTATAGACTATTTATCACTATTCTTTCTGCCAGAACTCTTTGTAGTGAAATCTATTTACTCAGAAAAGAGTTTCAGCTTTACCATCTATTAAATCTGCATAGATAAGAAACCAGTTTGTTTAATTCAATAAACAGTTCTGTGCTCCAGAACTAGATATTTGTCACTTGAGTATCGAAGTAAATGTAACCCAGGAATGTGATAACTTGGTTCCTCACAGCAGCTGAATCCCTGTAGTAAATATGCCTCTTCACATTCTTTGGAAACCAAACCACAAACTTGAGGGATGCTTCTCTGAACTTTGCTCCACACCAAGCACTTTTCACACATTTCTAATGGACTTGGGTGGACCTGTTTATATTCATGTCCACAATGCAGCTTGGCACTCACTTCAATGGCTACTCAAAAGATTTAAGATCATATAGATCTTTATTAGTCTTTATTTCAGTCAGAATTATTTATTTGCCTTTCAGCAACACATATGGTTTAAGACAAATACAGTAGCTATTTCCTCCTTTCAGTCAAGTCTAAAGCCTCATCCTGGCATTGTTATTGTGCTCTTCTAAACTGAGAAAAATATAAGACATCTCAATGGAAAGTCACTGCCAGCCAAGACAGTTTGACTCTTCCTATTTAATAAATGACAGTTTCCTTTAAACCTGGATTTAAAGACCTAAGTCTGCCTGCTACCCATCTTCATTTCTGGTTACTGCCTAGCAAGGCTTTTTTCTATTGCCCAGATATCCCTCTAGTTTCACCTCTGCATCTCTGGGAAATTGGGATTGACATATATACACTAATATGTACAAAATGGATAACTAATAAGAACCTGCTGTATAAAAAAACAAATAAGGGGCTTCCCTGGTGGCGCAGTGGTTGAGAGTCTGCCTGCCGATGCAGGGGACACGGGTTCGTGCCCCAGGCTGGGAAGATCCCACATGCCACAGAGCGGTTGGGCCCGTGGGCCATGGCCGCTGAGCCTAAGCGTCTGGAGCCTGTGCTCCGCAACGGGAGAGGCCACAACAGTGAGAGGCCCGCATACCGCAAAAAATAAATAAATAAATAAAAATATAAAATAAAATATGAAAAAAAAGTAGTGTGTGTGTGTATATATATATATATATATATATACACACACACACATATATGCATATGTATGTACCTGTGTATGTATATATATAGCCACATGGTTTAACTGAGGGCAAATTTCCCCATATTTTCTTTCTGCACCTCTTTTTGCTCTTTCTCTCTTATCTCATTAAGAATAAACAGATCAGTATAACACATCATGATGGATGATACAGCAGAACATCAGTTTTTAAAAGTTTAAAAATACATGTTCTTAAAAAAAAAAAAAATACATGTTCTTAAATGTAGGTCCTTAAATTTAAATTGGCAGAAATGCCCAAGGCAGTAACCTTTCTTTACAGACCACATTTTTACTTTGAGATTGCAGATATTATCTTGAGATTGCATTATCACACACTTCATTTGCACCCTCATACGTGTATAGTTTTATTTTTTTCAATAATTTTATTTCTTTTTTTCTTTAAATTTATTTATTTTTGGCTGTGTTGGGTCTTCGTTGCTGCGCGCGGGCTTTCTCTAGTTGGGACAAGTGGGGGCTACTCTTCTTTGCAGTGCGCAGGCCTCTCATTGCAGTGGCTTCTCTTGTTGCGGAGCACAGGCTCTAGGCATGCGGGCTTCAGTAGTTGTGGCTTATGGGCTCTAGAGCACAGGCTCAGTAGTTGTGGCACACGGGCTTAGTTGCTCTGCAGCATGTGGGATCTTCCCGGATCAGGGCTTGAACCCTCATCCCCTGCATTGGCAGGTGGATTCTTAACCACTGCGCCACCAGGGAAGCCCAGTAATTTTATTTCTTACTATATACAAGGCATAGTGTTAGCAAAGACTTCAAATTCAAGTACTGACAGCATCCTGGAAAGTGTCATAAATGAGTGATTTGGAAGTGGTGGTGACCATGGCAAGTCAGAGTACATACCTTGTCTGGAGAGGAATGCAAATGCTGCTACAGAAAATACAGGCCCATTATTACCAGATGATACAAATTATCAAAAGAAGCTAAAAATTGCAATATTTTGTGAAGTCTATTAATGTTTTGTTTTCGTTTGTTTTGTTTTTGCGGTACGCGGGTCTCTCACCGTTGTGGCCTCTCCCGTTGCGGAGCACAGGCTCCGGACGCGCAGGTTCAGCGGCCATGGCTCACGGGCCCAGCCGCTCCGCGGCATGTGGGATCTTCCCAGACTGGGCATGAACCCGTGTCCCCTGCATTGGCAGGCGGACTCTCAACCACTGCTCCACCAGGGAAGCCCTCTATTAATGTTTAATATTAGCATCTACACCAAACATCTTTAACACTTTTTCAACCACAGACACACAGACCAACACACAGACTAACAGTTTGCAACCGCTATAAAACACAGTTGGTTGGTAGCAGGATAGAGCAGACCAGGCCAAGCCAGGACTCCCAAGATGAAGGTGCCCACGGGAAAAGAGCAGATTCAGCAGCAAGAGATAGAAGAAAGGAGCTCAGACTGAGCTCAATGTGTGTAGATCAGGGTTTCTTAACTTTGGCATCCTTGACTTTTGGGGCAAGATAATTCCTTGTTGTGGGGAGCTGTCTATTACAGGGTGCCTAGCAGCATCCCTGGCCTCTACTCACTAGGTACCAGTAGCATTTCCCCCCTCATCCTCCATCCCCTGTTGTGACAATCAACAATGTCTCTAGACATTGTCAAATATCCCCTGGGAGGCAAAATTGTCCCTGGTTGAGTACCGCTGGTACAGATGTTGGTGGTAATAAGGGATGAGAATTAGTGTCAGAGCAATGCCTCCTGGGGTGGTAAGTCAGTAGTCTAACCAATGTAGGAGAGAAGCATGGATCCTCCCAGAGAGCAAAGGAGCAGAGTCACGGAAATGTGGTAACAGAGGTCAGTGTTCTCCAGGGGACCTAAGGTATGGCAATCCAAAACTGGAACCTGGGAGCAAGGACGAGGGACAAGGCAATAACCCAGTTACCCAAATCAGAGAATGAAGTAGAAAGAGAACCATGGATC